TTGGGAAAAGTAACAAGAAAGCTAATTTGAATATGTTAATTTATTTGTTTTTGCATGGCCCATTGACCAACACCAATATATATCTCTGCCAAAGAAAACAACAGTGGAAATTATTTGACTGGATATAGGAAAATGTCTGCATTTATTCAGAGAAAGTCTATGGAAAACAGCATCTACTGTATCTTAATAAATGTATTATAAATGAGCAGGGAGTTCTTATCACTCAGGTAATACCCTTTCTGAAGTTTGAAAAAAAACAGATCACAAGAGGTCAGATGCTGGTCACCTTTTAATGGTGATGGCACTATTGAATGGTGATTTTTTTTTGGTTTCAGAAGAACACATGCAATACAGTTCAAATTTGGAACGCAGGAACCAAGTCAATAAGAAAAGCCTAAAGCTGCCAAAGTAGATATAAAGGGCACTAAACAGAAAATTTTAGGAGCAGTTTTGTGTGGACAGAGTGGCCCATTTTCAATAATGGTATAATTTAAACCCTGATATTTTTTTTAGGTGGGAAATGTTGAGAATAATGCTTGTGAACAAAGGAACATCTCAGAAAATCTCAGAGATTTTATTTATTATTTGGGCTCACTTGACCACATTTGCAAAACAAAGAACAACCTATAATGTTGCAATGGTGAAGAGTAAGCTATGGCTGCTTTCTCAAATCTTATTTTTTTTATTTATGTCATCTTAATTATATATATTTAAGAAGTTCATATTTACCAAATGGACCATATTTACTTTTTCAAAAGAGGCAATTAAAAAAAAACTAAGAAGAAAAAACAAAGACCAGAAGACATTTTCTCCAGTTTACATCTAGATAAGCAGTGATTAATTCCAGACAAACAATTAGCAAAAAGCAGTGCTGTATTTAAGGAGAAAACCCCACTCCTACCAAAACTGGCAGGGCAAACTACTGTATATAAACAAGAAGCAAAATCTATTCAAACTGATTATTTTACCTAGCTGGGCAATAAAGCATCTGCAAACAATCAACCCAACCCAGTACCAAGGATTCCACAGTTCAACCTGAGCTACATACAGCATATTCTTTCCTACTGGAATATACATTTTTATATACATATATAGGCATGCTCACAAAGTACTTGATACAGTTATTCAGGACATTTGTAAGAAGGAATGAAGGACAACGGTACATAAAAAGGACATCACTAAAAATGTGCCAGGGCTATTTCTCTTAGAATCAGCAGATACCTTTTGAGAAGTGCGTGCACTTATTACCAATGCAATTTTGAAAAACATGAGGAGCTACTTAATGCAACTTCAAGCAGGGACACGGTCTTATTTAAAGGTGGTGGAAATACAGAGGTTGAAGAAATGGAAGAATCTGGAATCATAGGAAGCTCCGGAGTGGAGTACATTAACAGTGTTTGGCAAAGAGAATTCTTGGTTTATTGCTAACAGCTGTTTCAGGCAACACAAACACAGACTCCATAAAATGTCTGATCATTGCCTGATTGGACGCAGAAATCCAGCTGACTTAATATTAGGAACAGAAGTTGGAGAGGTTCAGGCCATTTAGCCCCATCACTTCCATGTGGAACAGACTATGAATTATTGTGTCAAAAAAGGAATTAAGGTGATAAAACCAAAGCAACTAAATTGAAAAGCATAGGTATGCCAGCAGGATTTGTCTTGAAGGACATTCAGTCAGAATATTTAATCACTGATAGGGAAATTTAATATTTATAACTTTTGGGAAAGAGACCTGGAGAAGCTATGGGAATGATAAGAAATACTGCGACAACCAAAGTTGGAAAAAAAAACTCAAAAAAAAAAAGTTGAAGTGGCATTCAGAATAATATATTATGGTGGCTACAGAAAGATGGAGGTCTTCAGCAAGGATGGGAGATAAAGTTTGCAAACTTTCAAAGCCAGGTAATAAAGGACAATAGAAGATATCTTAATTAAGATGACAACGGAAAGAGGAAAGTGACAAAAGGAAAATGAAATGTTTTTAAGAATTTCAGAGCAATCACAGGAAAATGTAATTAGGAAATTATTTTTCACATTTCTGAACTGCCCATCTCATCTCCCTTAGAAAGGAATTGCACAACAAAATGTCAAAATATAAAAACAGCGGATAAAAATTAAAATGTTAGAATTAAAATTAAAAGGAATACCAAAGAGCAACTGTGTTAGAAATCTAGCACAAATTTGCTAAGAGAAGCAAATGAAGTTAAGAGGTGGAATAGCTAGACAAAATCTTTTTTTACAGAAGGAGAAAGCTTTGTAAACATCTTCAGAAACTAATACCACTAGAAAGTAAATTGTATGAGCTCTTATCCCAATATCAAACAGAAAAATACTCGGCATGAATGAAGTTGCATGAGAAGAGGCAGTTAAAACCACCACAGCTCTTTCTGCAAACACTGAACAAGACTGTGTGACGTAGGTATGGAGAAATTTGGCATATTGAGGAAGTAAGGAGATGTAGGGTTGTCCACACAGTATGGCCCAAAAAGTCAAGATGGTGGACTGGAACAGTGTGATTGAAACTCTATTTTTTTATCTGCATATGATCATACAAAGGAAAATACAGAACCAGATGAACAGACAGGTTTCAGCAAAAACAGAGGAACAATCAAATTGCGAACATAAGGTGGATAATGGAGAGAGCAAAAAGATTTAAGGAGGTTTATCTGTGCTTCATTGACTGCAGCAAGCTGTGATTGTATAGATTATGTCAGAAATTGGATTTATTTTTCTGAAGAGTCTTTATAATGAATTAAAATCTATTACATGAATTGAATTTCAAGAACAAGAGTGGTTCAAACCAGGACAAGGGAGCGAAAGGAGAATACAGTTAGGGAAATATTTAAAAGTATGCAGGAACCCACACGGAAACTACACTACTTCCTTTTGAGTGGGTAAAGCTCCGGGGCCATTTTCGAGGCTTAAAAGGTGCTTCAGGCTGTCTCATCCTATACAGGCACCCACAATCACTTACACAATCCTATGAGACACATATTATCCCAGCATCACTTTTAATTTTTGTAGAGAATGCAAGACTGGTAGAATTTGAGAGACGATGGCTGGAATTGAAACTGGAGGTCAGGAACGGTAACATGCTCTTTGGATTATAAGGAAGATTTTGTAAGGTTTATTACAGATAGTTTTTGATTTACAACTGTAATTGAATTGGAATTATGATTGAAGTCATTATGGTAGTTATGCAAGTCATCATGTGTCTGGATCTGATTTTTTGCTATTTTTTGCAGCGGTCATTAAGTTAGTGCAGCAGTCACTAAATGAACACAGCAATTTAATATGTAATATTTATTTGCTACGTATATGTAGGGATGTGGGTCTATACATACGTTGTTCATAGTATGTTTAGGTATGTGTCATGTATGTGTTTTACTTTGAGAGCGGGCAACTAAATTTCATTTTTGATGTGTGCCATTGTGCCCACAGTATAAAAATGACAATAAAAGGTTATCTTATCTTATCTTAAGCGAACACAGTGGTGTTTAAGAAATTCCATTTTTCCTGAACTTCAGGGTTTTTTTTGCCAGAAACCTGAAATAAACACTAGAAACCAGCAAAAAAACCTATCAAAAATTGCAGTCATGTAACCCTGGGATGCTACACGTAGCTGAAATGGTGAGTTGGTTGTCAAGTGCCCATAATGTGATCATATCATGTGTGTGAGTGTTTGTGTGTGTGTGTGTGTGATAACTTTGAAATCAGTTCATAAGTAGGTTTTGGACGAGTTCGTTGTAATTTTTCTCTGTCACTAAGTGACTGGTCACAGGTCAACCCTATTTGTATGAAAATAAAAGTGGACTATTAAAAAACCCAGGTTAATGTGAAATAATAAAAGGAAGGTCAGCCCGCTGCTTGATCTCAAGGCAGATGGACAACTGGACATGGCAATTTTGCTCTCTTGCATTCAAGATAAAACATGGACAGCACATCAGAGAAGGAACAAGAATGATCCTCCGGAGAATGACAAACTTGACAAGATAAGGATTATTTCTATGACAACCACAATAAAAATAGTCGAAGCAATGGTCTTCCCAGTGGTAATCTATCGGGAGACCTTGTGCAAGGCAGAAAGAAGGGAGAGAGGAGCGGTCTCCGGATCTACAAGGAAAACGCATCCAAAAAACCATTTCTGCGCTGGGATTCATAGCATTCTCTACGATCACACACACACCCCCATTGTGATCCCCAAATAACAGTAATGCAGACAGGCTTTCAGATCACTTTAGGGATACCTGGGGGTTGCAACGGAGTCGCAATCGAGTCGCTCGTGAGGAATTGACCTGAAAGCACCTCGGACCGTTCGATCCCTCCCTGGACAAGATATAAAGCTGAATGCTGCTTGCAAGGCAACGATCCCCAAGTAGAAGCCCACATACTTTGGGCACAGAGTGGGGGGGAAGGGGGGTGGTGTACAACCCCCCCCCAAACCCCTCCTAGACTGCTGGGTAAAGCCGGATCCGCGGAGGATCCCAAGCGCCTGGACGAGAGATGAGGGAGGGAGGGAGGGGCGGCGATCGACGGCACAGCCACCAGGAGTCCAGCCGCCTCGACGGCACCTCACTCGATCGCCCCGCGGGCGGGGTCTCGAGGCGCGCGCTCGCTCGCTCGCGCGGGACGGGGTCGGAGTCGGGGGGGAGGAAGGAGGGGCGGGGAGGAGGAGCGAGGTTGGAGAAACGAGGCGCTGGTTGGCCGCCACTCGGCTCAATGGGCGGGGCGTCGCTCCTCCCCCCCCCGCCCGCTCCACGCTTTCCCTCCTCCCTCGCGCGCTTTCTCTCTCTCTCTCTCTCTCGCTCCCTCTCCGGTCGCCTCGCGTCGTCCAGGTGCTGGTTGGCGGCCTCTCGCGCGCCCCCGCCGGCGCGCGCCTCCCAGTCCTCCTCCTCCTCCTCCTCCTCCTCCTCCGCTCTCTTCCTCCCTCCCTCCCTCCCTTCGCCTCGGCTGGCCGTGCCCGCGCGCGCCGCTTTTCGCCCGGGCTGCGCTCGGACATGGCGGCGGAGCTGAGCGCCGAGCGGCTGCGCTCGCTGCCCGCCAGCTGGAGCTTCGGCATCAGCCGCGGCGGCCGCATCTTCTTCATCAAGTAAGCCGGGGGCGGGGGAGCGGCGGGGGGGGGGGGCGGCCGAGGCGGGGGCGCTCCCGGAGGGTCGGGCTCCCCTCCTTCACCGTCTCTCTGTCTCTCTTTCCCCCCCCTTGGCAGCGAGGAAGCGAAGAGCACGACTTGGCTGCACCCGCTGACGGGCGAGGCGGCGATCACCGGGCACCGGCGCAGCCCAGGTAAGGCGGCGCTTCCCCCTCTGGAGGGCACCGGGCGGGGGGGGAGTTGCTTCCCCGATCCCCGCTTCCCTGCCTCACTTTTACCTCTCCCCCGCCGTGCACCGGTGCCCCTCATCGCTTGCACCCCGGCAGCCTGCCCGGATTTGAAAAAGCCCCTTTGCCTCCTTCCTAATTTTAAATTTTCCACCTTCAACGTTGTAATGCTGCCCCATTTTTTCTCCACTCTCCCCCCCCCTCCAGCCTGCCCCCTCCCTTTCCTTGCCTGCCTGCCTCTCCCAGGTTGGCCTTTGGCCACCGAAACTGAGGCTCTTCTCTTGGACTTCCTTAGGTGTGTGGCTCTGGTAAGGGGGGGGGCGTGGGGGGGGGGTTTAAGGGGTCTAGACCCAAGACGTTAAGGGGTTAAAAGGCCGACCAAGGGAGAGAGAAACCACGTAGGGACGGAGAAATCGGATAACTTTTTCACTGTAATTGAACATAAGACACCTATCCCAAAAGTTTTGTACTTGGCCAGCCTTTTTTGGAGTGGTGGTGGGGGAGATGGATATGGCCACTCAGGTTTGGGAATAACCGTCCTTCTCTTTCCTCCTGTGGCTTAAAAGTTTCCCTCTGGGTAAAACTGTTTCCTTGTTTTTCCTTGACCTTTTAACCCACCTATTTGCTTTTCTTTCTGCCACTTGCCCTTTGGTTGAATGCAAGATTTCTTTTTTTTTTTTCCCCTCTTCAGTTCAAGACTACTATCACTTATTTTGTGGCATTAACGTTTTTCCCTCTGCTCTATGAATATTGTTCCTCTCCCTCCTAACTTGAACCAAGGGGATTTATTAATTGTTTCACCCTTCATGCAACCATCACTGAAATGCCTTTTCTCTCCTTTCCTCTCTGTCTGTCTGTCTCTCTTGCTTTAACCTTATCTCCTTGTCATTTTATCTGAAGCTCTTCTTCTGGGATGATAAACCTGCCCACTCCTTTCTCACATCCCATCCCTTTCACAACATCCCCTTGTCTTTCTGTTCCCTTATCCTTTAACCAAATCCTAAGGTAAGGTCCTGGACTTAAAATATTGTTTTGAACTCTGTCTAGGGCAAGTCATGCATTTTGTCCTGCCCTGATTGGAGCATCCCTGTAAACCCATTGTTATCTCCTAGTGATGGACAGTTTGGGCCTCTATAGCCCTATGTTTATCAAGTAAAAAATTCCTCTAGTTTGTTTGTCATCCTTGAAGCCAGCTCTCTCCCTGTATTTAAAATGCCTTTTCCAGCAGTATATTGACTCTCCATGAATATTAGCATCCCTGTTCCAATTCTGACCAGTATCTCTGTTACTAATTTACAAATATACTCATGTTATAGGGATCACTTTTATATAATTTATTTCCAAATTATTGTATCCTTAAACCCAACTAACTTTTAAACTTTCTCATGGATGTGCACGTAAGTCACTTTATTACTACTCCTTTAGCCTACCTTTCTGCATGGTTGCTACTCTTCTTTCTCCAGGTACACATCTGGAGAACTAAGACATGCCCATGTATATTAATTTGGCTGTATTTGCTCAAATGAATATTCTGTACTCTGGATGAATGTATCCTCACCTGGCATAACGAATTACAAGAGGCTTCAGTGTTTTTAAACTTACATGTCAAACAATGCTTAATCATTCCAGCTTATCTAACTAACTGATTGTACTTTCACTGCCCCCTAATAGGTGTGATAGCCAAATACTTTGTTTCTGTTTTCTTGTCTCTGTGTTTCTGGTGTTGTAATTTAGTTGACCCATTTGCACTAGGTTAATGTTTATCCCACTTGATCCTAACCTTGACAGATTCCTTTACTATATTTTCTCCATATGCCTTTCACTATATTTGCATCCATAATTAGTTGTTCCTACATTTTTAGTCTGATACTGATATTCACTCAGCTGGTACCTTTTTATGGCTTGTTATCTGTTGGTTCTCTCTTCCTATTGTTTGGGGGTTAATCTGGTAGACTTTTCTATCAGTTCATTGGGAAACCTAACCCTATACTAATCTTTTCCTACTGACTCTATCCAATAATGACTCCTGCATTGCTATCTTGCAATTGCTTTTGTATAAATGGGGGAGGGCTTAGAAATCCACCTACCATTCTGATAAGCTGCAGAGATTTCTGCAGTCTTCTTCAGAGATCTGATCTCCACCTATTCAGCATGCTTTCCAGGTAGCTTGGAGACCTCCAACATGGCTATTCTGTTTTTAGCAATAAGTTGTTTCTCCTGGCTTCCTCAACATGTTCTCTTTATGCTGTCCATTGTAAAACTTAAAAGAAACCCATAGCCGAATCTTTATAAAAAAAAATACACAGCAGTGGTGTGATTTTCAGCAACAGTGGCAGAATGAGCTATTCACTTGGTGTCCTAAGAGTTGGCCAGTCCAGTTGCCATTGAGGTTGAAGCAAGTCCCCTTCTTAATTGAGAAGAACTGAGTACACATTTTTCTATATTTTTTCATGTCTTAAAGCTATAAGCTTATCATTTTGTATTACGTTTATTACAAGTTTGTATAGTATATTTGTAAGTTTTCCAGAGACATCAAAGGAGGGGGCAGCATGTATTAGTAAATTAATACATCACATAATGTTCAGAATCAGAGTGGCATTAGTGATACTTATGGAAGGAAAGCTTCATGTAAATAGCAGCACCAAATTGCAGGTTGAATACTGCTCTCTCTCTCCTCAATGAAGAAAGAGACTTCCCGGTGTAGATTGTAATTTGCAATTTAAAAATGAATATGCATCATATTTTAGTTGACTTGAGAGCACGCTACGTCTTTCTCATCCTTCTTGCCTGCCCTGATATTATAACCAGCATACAATTCTGTAAAATTGCCTACAGCCAAAAGCTTTTTCACTGGGTTCAAAGCATGAATTCACTTGTCCATATCTTTTTCGGTGTCATACTTTCTAAAAGCTTGTGGCTGCTTTTTGAAATTCATGCATTATCCTTAAGTGTCTTCACCTTTAAAGATACACCCTCGGTTTAGATAAGAGAGTGGGTGGTTTCTGAGTGACAGGAAAAGGTGGGATGAATTGGAGAAAGAGGGCAGGAGCTTGGGGGGGAGACTATGGGAAAGGAGGGGGGGTAGATTCTATCTCTGCCATTTGTTTCTCTGGAGACGAAAAGCAGCAGAGAAGGAAGGGTTTGGCTGGAAAAAGAATAACGGGGTTGCTGGTATAGCACATCAATCAACAATGCCATGGGGAAAATGGGTGTTGCTATTCAGCAACGCAATTGCTCCCCCCTTCTCTTCCTTTTATGCAACTGGATGTATGAAATAGAAAAAGAAAGGCAATCCAGGGACACTCTGGATTAGGACGACTGGACTGGCATTTTTGCCTTTTTTTAAAAAAAATATTTTTATATTTCATTAGCCTTTGCTTTTGCTCCATGTGACCTGGGAACATTTTCAAGGCAGAGTGAAGTTCTTTTGTTTAACTCTCTTCCTAGTCATAGTTATGGGAAATGTCATGGGATAGTTTATAGCCAGCTGTGTTTCAGAGTCAGAAACCAGAACTGCTGGTTAATTGAGAAGAGTTCCCTGTTCCTTGTATAATTAGTGTTTGTATTAATTGAAAAGTCCAGCAGGTAAGGGGAAGGGGGCAGATGTGCTTGAGTGATTTGGCTGTTGAACTGCAATTGTTTTTCTCCTGTAATTCCACCCTGGTCTTAAATTAATGCTTTTGCCTCTACTGAGGGGAGACTTTTTCTTACTCACATTTCAGATCTATTCTTGTTTCATTCTACCGTACATATAAGTGCTTTGCTTTGTTTTGTACCCCTCTGAGTGCCAAAATATGTTAATGTCTCTAAGAAAAAAAAATCAATTTTGGTTGCTTTTAAAGTATTTCAGATAATGAGCAAAGCTTGTTTTTGGACAAATGGAATTTCTTTTGCATACTCCTTATGATAATATTTGGATAAGCAATTGTACCAACCAGACCTGCTGTTTTACTCTTACAATGGAAATAATATGTGAAAAGCTATTTTACACTGGCTTGTGTGACCTTTTAATTGTGATTGTGGGAACTTATTATGTTCATCTTGAGGGAAGCATCTCTGATTTAATTGCTCTTTGTTTATAGAATGTTTACCATGCAAAAGTGTTCTACATCAAGCTCCCAAAATAGCTTTAAATGCCTCACCAAAATATTCTATCACCCAAAGTATTTCAATTACCTGTGCTCAAACATATATATGGTACTATTCTAAAGAGCAAAGCCAGCTGTATTTATGCACAGTGCAGTAGGTGAAATAATTATTTTAAGCAGTGAGCCTTGTAATTAAGCACAGCTTTAATGATCCATTTTCTCCACAATGCTTTGCTTTTTTGTTCTAAAGATGAGAATAGCCTTTGAATTTTGTTTTTAAAAGGAGATTCAAAATATTGATGCTTAATTGATGGCTATAGAGAGGCAGCACATCTCTCTCACCTTGTCATTACATTAATAGTGAAAATTAAATTCTGTTTAAATGACTGTTTTTCACAGTTAACAATCTTTGCAGTATCCCCGTGATCATGTGATCAAAATTCAGCTGCTTGGCAACTGGTTCATATTTATGACGGTTGCAGTGTCCTGAGGTCATGTGATCACCGTTTGCAACCCTCTGACAAGCAAAGTCAATGGGGGAAGCCAGACTGACTTAACAATAGTGTTACTAACTTATCAATTGCGGAGATTCACTTAACACCTGTGCCTAGAAAGGTCATAAAATGGGGCAAAACTCATTTAATAAATGTCTTACTTAATAACAGAAATTTTGGGCTCAATTGTGATTGTAAGTCAAGGACTACCTGTATTGTTACTGGATACTTCCAAGCACAACTTGAAGATATAGCAATATGATGAAACTTGGACATCAACTATGTATTATAATATTTAACTAGATACCACTTTAGATATTTCTGCTCAGGTTTTTTTTAATATATTTTATTAGATTTTATATGGGTAGGGAAAGGGTAGGATCGGTGCGGGTACAGGAAAATTGGGATAAAAGGGACAGGGTGTGGATAAATACAGTAAATACGTAATTCAGCGAACAAGCTGTCGTCCGGGTCTTCATATTAAGTATAATTGTTTATATAATACTAGACAGTTATAAGAATAAATCAGTATAGTTACAACTGACATTTGATAAAACACTAATATTCCTTTAAATAATTAGCATAGGTGGTAGCATAACAACTATTTCCAATCATCAACCTTAATACTTAATATAATAAAACTCTAAAATCTCTTCTTATTCTAACGTGTTTCAACCCACTGATAAAATTTTCCCCAAGTTTTATAAAAGATTGAGTCTTCTTTCTCCTTCATCTCTAACGTTAATCTGCTCAGGTATTTTATGATTGGCACAACAGCTACAGAAGTGAATGAAGCCATTTAACTTAATGATGCTGGAAGAGGTTTTTCAGTATATCTAGCTGTAGTTGATGAGATGAACTATAATACTCAGAAATATTTGTGGCAATACTTAAAATCTTTAGGGTTTGAGAATTAGTTGTGTTTTATTTTCATGATCTAAATCTTATTTGCTCTTAAGTTCATAATGAATAAGGGGGTACCTTGCTCAATAGTAGTAACTGTGAGAGGGACCTCGGAGTCCTAGTGGTCAATCATTTAAATATGAGCCAGCACTGTGCTGCAGCTGCCAAAAAAGCCAACACAGTACTAGGCTGCATTAACAGAGGGATAGAATCAAGATCACGTGAAGTATTAATACCACTTTACAATGCCTTGGTAAGGCCACACTTGGAATACTGCATCCAGTTTTGGTCACCATGGTGTAAAAAAGATGTTGAGACTCTAGAAAGAGTACAGAGAAGAGCAACAAAGATGATTAGGGGACTGGAGGCTAAAACATATAAGGAACGGTTGCTGGAATTGGGTATGTCTAGTTTAAGGAAGAGAAGGACGAGGGGGGACATGATAGCAGTGTTCCAATATCTCAGGGGCTGCCACAAAGAAGAGGGAGTCAAGCTATTCTCCAAAGCGCCTGAAGGCAGGACAAGAAACAATGGGTGGAAACTAACCAAAGAGAGAAGCAACCTAGAACTAAGGAGAAACTTCCTGACAGTTAGAACAATTAGCCAGTGGAACAACCTGCCTCCAGAAGCGGTGAATGCGCCAACACTGGAAGTTTTTAAGAAGAAACTGGACAGCCATTTGTCCGAAATGGTATAGGGTTTCCTGCCTGAGCAGGAGGTTGGACTAGATGACCTCCAAGGTCCCTTCCAACTTTATCATTATTATTATTATTATAATTTGAGCCATGTGTGAGGTATAAAATTGATAATACTGTTTTCTTTTAATATATTGTAGAGTAAAAAGAGCTAAAACAATTGCAAATATTTAGTGTAATAAAATGATTCTCAAACATATAATGAGGCTATTTTTTTTCTACTCTAGATCTACCCACAGGTTGGGAAGAAGCATATACTTTTGAAGGTGCAAGATACTACATAAAGTAAGTGAAGCTCAGCATGGAATATTTTGCTGAACATATATTACTATATACTTTGTCCTAGGGAACGTTATATTATCTTCAGAGTGTGGTTTTAAGGGCAAGATGGATGTGTGAGATAATCTGTAGAATGGGATTTTGCTATGTAACAACAATGCCTTATGGCAGTAGCTTAAGGGAAGGCAGAATGACATATGTTTCTGATTCTTGTAGTGATCTTTTGAGCTAGGTGAAAATAAGGAATAGCAGCTTGATCAAGACAGCTCATGACTATAATATTTGTAAAGCTTTGTATCTAATGGGAAATCTGGATTTCTCACATAAAAATCCAACTTCTGCATTTATCCTATATTTGGGCCACTCTAGAATGTTTAAATTGACAGTTATGCCTTTCTATGCCATGGTACTCTTGTTTTGATGGAAGATGGACTAAGGAAAACATAAAACCCCACATCCATAGGAGTGTTATATATGTTTGCCACCTTGAAATATGTATTGAAATAAATAATAAAGGTGGGTTAAATATCTAATAAATAAAGTACATTTGCATTTGAAGAAAAAAAATAAGAGTTACTGATCTGTGGGTCCTCCTGCCTATCCAATCTGAGTCTTAGATGGCTACTTTTATGTGTTTATATCTGTGGCCCTGAAAAAGTAGGTTAATAATAATAATTGGAGGATTTTGCAGTGTGTGAGAAATTTTATTACATGATAAAAAGCTGCAGAATGCAGTCCATATGTATTTATATTTAATCTCCTGCTATNATCACATGACTGAAACTGATTTTTCAGCATTTTTGTGGCAGTCTTTAAGGAAATCCATTATGCCAAATAGGCATTTTTTTGATGGAAACCAGAAGTAGAGTCCAGAAACTAGCAAACAATGTAGTGATGTGACTATGGCAGTGGTTCTCAACCTGTGGGTCGGGACCCCATTTGGGGTCGATCGACCATTTCACGGGGGGTCGCCAAGCAAGGCTGTCCGCCATTTTTTTTGTCCGCCATTTTTTTCCCCTTTTCCGGTGGGTGCCTTACCTCCCTTGGGCTGGGCCAGCTGGTGGTCGGCCTGCTCCGTCTCTGCCGCTTGCCAGCTACGCCTCGGCCGGCGCAGGGGGCGGAACCACGCATGCGCGGCGCTCCCGGGCAGGAAAAGTCCTCGACTTACGACCAGTTGGGTAGTCCTCGACTTACGACCGGTTTAGTCCTCGACTTACGACCGGTTTAGTCCTCGACTTACGACCGGTTGGGGTCGCGGCATTAAAAAGGTTGAGAACCACTGGACTATGGGATGCTGCAAACGGTTATACATATGAGCTACTTGCCAAGCAACCAAAATGTGGTCACATGACCATGGGGATAGGGCCGTTGTAACTTCAAAATTAGGTCTTAAGTAGCTTTCGGGGGATCAGTCGTAATATTGAAGGGTGGTAAGTTGAGGAATATCTGCACATATTTGTTGTACTTATTGCAGACTTACTAGAGACATCACTAGAAAACAATTGCAGATTTGAAAGGCTTGATCTGAAACATAGATAAAATAACAATATGATTACTTAAAGAAAGCAATGACAGGAAATACTCTTTTTAGCTTGTTGAAATTGCAAGTAGGATTGCAGTGAAGTTTCCTAACTATACATTTTCATCAGGTCCACTAATGAATTGTGATTATAAACAGAGGGAAAGAATGTGGTGAACTCACAGAGAGAAACAGCAGTGACTCCTATTAACAACCAACGAACTTTTTTAAAAAATGAGCACGGTAAAACAAGGAACATGTTCTGTTTCCTCAATAAAATTCTTTATGACCTGCTAAGCCAGTGGTGGCGAACCTATGGCACGGGTGCCAGAGGCGGCACTCAGAGCCCTCTCTGTGGGCACACGTGCCATTGCCCCAGTCCTAGGCCTTCAGCTGGGTTTTATAAAACCTTTTCGCTTTAGGCCTCAGCCGCTGTATGCAAAAAAAAAAGGTCCAATCAATCAATCAATTTCAACTTCTTGTGGGAAAAAAAAAGATCTTGCAAAGTTGGAATTGATTGATTGAACTTTTTAGTCCCACCCAGTCTGCCATTACCACCACAGCCACGCCCACCCAACGAGCCACACCCACCCAACGGGCCACACCCACCCAATGGGCCATATCCACTCGGCACCCAACGATGCATAAGTGGGTTTTGTGTTGCAGTTTGGGCACTCAGTCTCTAAAAGGTTCGCCATCACTGTGCTAAGCTATGCGTACTAGCAATTGTTTATCATTCCATTTTTTTCACTTGTATCTTCCATCTCATGCATTTGCAATTTATTTTCCGTGGGATATTTGATGCTTTTTCCATGGTACACCTTCTTTTTTTCAAATTTAGTTTCTGGTCTGGAGGTTAGATCTGGAGACTTTCTGTGTTATGGCTGTCATACGAATAAAACCAGACAGATATCTTTTTGCAAACAGGTGCCACCATAGCTTGAGCATTTATTGCATAAATATTCCAAATCATGTGGGGAAATTTATGCTAATTTAAAAGAGTATATGATATTCATAACATGAAATTATTGTTACCTATGATTGTTACCTGCTTTTCCGTCTTGATGTTGTTTCTGTACTAATTATCTTTTGGAAGTGTTCTCTAGAACAAAGACTGGTAAATGGAGTCTATTTGTTTTGGGTAATAAGATTTTGTTTCAAGTTGTGCTAGCATTTTACGTTTAATGAGCTTAGTGAAGGATTTCAGGTTTTATTGTAATTCAATTTAGTAGAAATACAGATACTACAGTTTGATAGTATGGATTAAAGGGAAAAATAGATTAGTTTTATCTGAAAAAGTAGATATTTCTAGCGTTGGAAAACCAACTATTTTATTTACTAAGAATTTAAATTAGACAATGTACTGAAATTCCTCATAAACAAATTGTTCTTTGGATAAACAGAATTTTAATGGTGAACCCTAAAAAATGATAGTTCATAGTTGTTTTCAATTCATGGAGAAAATATATGGACAGTAGGAGTCAAAAAGGAATTGATGGCCCATAATCCATCAATAATGTTTTCAACAGAGAAAGGTAATTGAAAATAGCTTCACTAGTTTCCCTTTTACTATAGGTTCCTATATTACAAAACTTAATTGAAGCTGTGGTACTAACTCTTACAATGACTTGAACCAGCATAAGTTACAGTACTTCAGAAAGAAAAAAAAAGGAAAAAATGAATTAAGTGAGGCTTTTTCTCCCTCAGTTTTTTCTTTTCTTTCTTTTCCTTTCCTGTTCTAGTTCAAGAAAAGTGAATTATCTGTATTGCATTTTGCATGCATGAAGCCTCTTAGAAATCAGAAACAAGTAATTAACTTCTAATCCCTGGTGCTTTATTTGCACTATATGAGAGAGCAGGTGGCCCTAGAACCAAGCTAGTATCATATTGATCTTTTTGTTCTAAATTGGATGGTGTTTGGGGTGTTGTCTTATATATATATATATGACTAGTAATTAGAGTAAAAATCCGACTCTTGGGTATATCCATGTTAAAACCAATAAATAATGCTGATCACCAAGAGAGTAAGTAAAAATATTTAATAGACTAAACCTAGCTTTCGTCGGGCACTCCCGACATCGTCAGGGTTCAAAAAAGGCGGTTCCTGGGAGGGAACTTACATACAGCCTCTAATTGCCTGCATCCGGCTACGTGAACGTGTAACAGGGCCCAGCTGTCTATGTTCTTGCACTCCAAGTACGTCTCTTCCCCCCGTGTGCCGTTCTTTCGCATCCTTTCTCTGTTTTCCATCGCGCACCCCTCCACCGTCAATCCCGGGGCTGGGAAAACTCCCCCCATCCCACTCGCAATATATATTGCAAGGTGACAAGAGGTTAGACATTTAGATAACTGCAGGGGTGTTTGGCACTGTTAAGGAGATGTTGATATAAATATGAGATGTTGACAAGGAAGACTTATCCAAGGAGTTGGTATTGTGACCGTTCTATTCTTCAGCTCTATATCTGCCAGGCATAGTATTCTTCCAAGAAAGAATACTTTCAGATTAAAATTTCTTCCAAATTAGAAATTGGTGAAGCCTGACAGGTGAGAATTTTAGAAATGTTAGGGATATGCATTGGAGGGCTTTTACCCAAAGAGGCTAGAGTAGGGGTCTTCAAACTTGGCCCTTTTATGACTTGTGGACTTCAACTCCCAGAATTCCTCAGCCAGGCAAGCCGGTTGAGGAATTCTGGGAGTTGAAGTCCACAAGTCATAAAAGGGCTAAGTTTGAAGACCCCTGGACTAGAGGCAGCAACTATAGGTAGTCCTTGACTTAAGACTACAATTGAACCCAAAATTTCCATTGCTAAGCAAGACAGTTGTGAGTTTTGCCCCATTTTACGACTTTTCTTGCCACAGAAACACTGCAGTTGTTAAGTTACTGACACAGTTGTAAAGTGAATTTGGCTTCCGCATTGACTTTGCTTGTCGGAAGGTCGCAAACCGTGATCACATCACCCAAGGATACTGCAGCCCTCATACATATGAAGCAGTTGTCAACCATTAGAATTTTGATCGCGTGACCATGGGGATGCGGCAATGGTCGTAAGTGTGAAAAATGGTCATAAGCCCCCTTTTTTAGTGCCGTTGTCATCTCAAATGGTCACTAAATGAACAGTTGTAAGTTGAAGACTACCCGTACGTTGTCTCGTGCAACCTTTCTATTTTAAAGTGTCCCAAGCTTTATTTTTTCTTTAGCAGATTATTCGTTTTATTATCTAATGTATAGTTAAGGTAAGGAGTCACTTTATCAACTATTCCAAGGGACATATTTACTTAAAATATATTAAGCCTAAGACCAGTCTGCTGTTCTGTTGAACAGGATGGCCTGTGTCTGCAGGGAAATAAAGTATTGTTTGCCAGACCAATTAGAAAGGGACCGTTAAAAAAGAAATAAGTGTTTCATCTTGTATTGCATTTAGTTAAGGGGGTGATTACCTGGAAAGGTACAAGGGATTAGTCTTGATTTCCCCATGTTTACTTTTGTTTCTTCGATTCACTGCCAGTTTTCTGAGCTTGTGAAATGTTCTTAATTAAAACATACTGCTAACTCTCTTTATTTTCCCATGGTAGACACATCCTTGGGAGGCTTTCAATTATGAACTCTTCCTGACAAATTCTTTTGCTTTCCTGAGTGCTGAACCTGAGGCAATAACACTGCTAATCAGATTGGGGTCTACAGCCACTACAG